TCTATGTTCTGCAGCATTCTAACGCTCTAAAAGCTGAGAGCAGCTAACACACAAGTTGTTTAATTAGCTACCAGTCAGTTGCAAGTCATGACTAAAACCAAGAAGCCTATAGTGAGCTTGCTCTTGAGGTCCGTTACTGACAGAGAGCTCCACATCGTGTCTCCACTCTCAAGGCTGGAAAAGGCCACACAGTTTATCCGAGTGTTCTCAAGTGCCAGCGGCCGCAGTGCAGAGCAGAAGGAAAAAGCACAAGGAGCTCCACACCGTGAAAAACCTCAAAGGGCACCACAGGAAGCCAAAAGTAACACCTGCGTGTTCAAGGATGGTAGTGTGAAGATTCCAGGAATCTGAATCGGAGCAATTCTGCTGTTAACGTCTCGAGGCAGCGATGGAGGAGGACTCTCCAAGACTGGAACAAAACAACTGCACCAGCTTCTATGTTCAGATGCAGACGACTAATTGGCTTTTGAAACACCATCCCCACGGTCAAGCTTGGTGGTGGGAGTGTGATGGTGTGGAGGTGTTTTTCATCTGATGAGCCCGGTAGCCTTGTCAGAGTAAACAGCATCATTAGGAGAGGAGGACTGGATTTAGATTCTGGAGGAAAAGATCAGGAAAAAACTTGTTCCTGGGCTGCTTTGAACCGAGATTAGATCTGAAACATGCAGCCAAAGTATTTAGGAAATAGTTAACAGCCAGCCAGAGTCCAGACCTGATCCCAATCGAGGATCTGTGGAGGGAAGCTGAGACCAGAGGAAGCCATCCGATCTCAAAGAACTGGAGATCGTTGCACAAAATCCCAGTGGAGACGAGCAAAAAGCTTGTCTGTGAAGATTCTCAGTCATCCAGGTCATGGTTGTTCTCGCAGTTTAATCATATTTTTTCAGTTGCTACGATTAAACTAAAAGCTTGTTTGTGTCATTTCAAGGCAGAAGAAACCTGCTGGTCAAATCACCATAAATTAAAATCATGTGTGGGCGTAAAAAAAAAAAACTTTGGGATGAGCTGTCCCTGAATACTATCGCTGTCTTTTACCAACATGTGTTCAAAAATGAGCCCAACCTGGTTGAAGCTGTTGCTGTGCAGACTTCAAAACCAACACGTTGTTCAAACAGTAGCGCTGTTGTGCTGGCGGCTCGCTGCACGTGTAACACTGTTTGTCTGTCTGGACTCGGCACAACCACAACGCCTTTACTCAGAAAACCTGACCTTGCCCGACCATCGCTGTTACCATCTCTGTTTGTTTTTACATTGATAAAACAGGCAGGAATGTGAGGCCAAAGCTGGATTGAAACCTCAGAGGGCAACACGCACTCACCGAGTTCACGGAGAACAAGCTGTGCTTTCACTCCGACACCGGCTTCTGATTTTTACAAAAAAACAAGTATTCTCAGGGTTCAAAAAATACTTTTTTAAACTATTAATATGACATGCAAATTCCTGCAGTTTTGCTCAAGGGGAAATAAAATCTGATTTTTTGAACGGCAGCTTGTTCAGAGGTGAGACCACAAAACTCCAAATCATACATATTTAAATGCAAAACACACAACCAGGTGAAGTTCTGATTAGCAGAGTGGAACAACATTTTTTCACAACAGAAGAGAGTTGGAGCTCAGCCAAACTGAAGAAGCAGGCAGAGCGGTATGACAAGATATTTGTCATTGAATACCTTTAAATCACAGCTCATGATATACTCTGAAATGTTGGACTGTGTGTATGGATTTTTCACCAAAAAGGGTGAACAAACTGCAAATCTGTACAGCTTTATAATGAGCAGAACTAAACAAACAGTAACGATCACAACATCAGATCTGCGGATGCAACGATCCGAGACAACAAACAGAGCAGACGGACCCAAACAACATCAGATGACCCCGGAGAAGGTGAGAGAACAAGGAAGTGTGTGTGTGTGTGTGTGTGTGTGTTTGAGCATTTAGATAAGCAGGCCGGTTTTGCAGTCTGCTTTTCCATAATGCCGGTCACACGTCGAGGGACTGAAACACTCAGGAACAGCTTAGCACGAGAAGCATTTTCATTCTTACTGAGCCACAGAAGTCTGACTGTGATGGACAGATTAGTGTTGCATATCAAATCTGAATCAATAAGGCTTAAAGTGGTCGTTTTTGACTCAGTAAACAGCATTTATTTTTTTTGCCTAAAGGGTGAGGTATGATCAAAATTAATGAGACTGTCCAGAGCTACCAGCAAGACTGATTACTGTCAATATTCCTAGAAACCTGGAAGAGATGCTCGTGAATATTTTTGCTTTCACTTTTTTGCTCTCACTTTTTTTTTTCTCACGTATATATGAAGCATAAGAAGTAATTATAGTTGAATGAACTGGCTGAACGCTTGATGTTTTATCTTCCTCGGCTGCAGCAGTCACACTGAAGTGAAGTTTCTTTGAGGAATTCCTCTCTTGTTGACAAGTTCAGTCAATGAAAGTGAATCTTTTAACTCACTTCATTCGCCCGAGTAAGTAATGCTGCTTGGCATCCTCGAAGGCTGCTGCCGAGGGAACAAATCCCTTAAGCTGCACTGGAGCGAGTGGGCAACACTCATAAAGCCAAACCCACCGCGCAGGTTTGTGAAGTGATGCATGGCCGTGAGTGTGTGTGTAGCTGCTTGAATAGCTCACCAAAGGTTCGAATATCAGAGAGAAATTAGACTCACTTCTAAAGAGGCTTTAGACATGCATAAATTAAAGAAAGCATATGGCGATTATTAGCCAGGGTTTTCAAAAGCGCTGCATAATTTCAAGATGATAACATTATTAGGGATTCAAGAGGGAATTTTGTTTACAAAGGTGCAGCAGAACCAACAGAACCAGCTGCCAGTTACTCATTAATCATTGCACTTCCCATAATTCACCTTTCCTGATGTATACGAGATACTGTAATTTAATAAAACTTTGTATTTGGACTTGGAAGAGCTGGAGAATCATTTATTAATTTAACTTTTATTTAAACAAAGATCACATTGAACTACTGAGGCCTTCAGGAATTCACTTGTTTGCTTAAAGTAACTTCAGTGTAACGATATATATATATATATATATATTTTTTTAACCGTTTCAGAGGACAAACTCAACAAAGCTTCCTTTGACGTAGGGTCAATATGATTTGATAAAGGCTTAAACACTATTAGTTGATTAAATGATTTGCTGGAATCAAATTAGATTCACTTGAAACGAAAGAACAGTTGGCGATTTTGAACTATTTGTCAGACAAACAAGCTTCTACGCTGATGACACACAACTGGATATCTCAATTAAGCCCAGTTGTAATGACATGTCTTACTTACTGTCCTGCCTGGAAGACATCAAATGTTGGATGTCCAACAGTTTCACACTGACTCTAAGACAATCGTAATCCCTTTGAATAGCTCTAGAAACAATACTGAGGAGTCTATGTCTATGGTTTGGGTCCATTAGCTGCATATATTAAACATGAGGCCCAAAATCTCTAAGTGGTTTTTAATTCATGTTTTTGTTTTAATGCTCAGGTGACAAAGGTTGTACAATCTTGTTTTGTTCAGCTCAGGCTCGTCTCTTTGATCATTTCTTCCTCTGTTAGCCTTAGAAAAGGTCATTAAGACATTCATCACCTCCAGCATCATCAAGGGAACACTTAGCTACACTCAAAATACTGCTGCTCTGTTTATAACTCGCTCCAGTAGAAGTGACCACATTACCCAATTCTTGCTGGATTCCGTGGGCTGACAGTTTTAGAACAGATGTTAAGATTTTTGGGCTTGTTTTTAAATCCTTTCAAGTGCATTTTTACATGTGTGATTGCTTATCTCCTTCTGAGCCGGATTGTTGTTTGAGTTTCTGACTCTGACCTTGTCAGCAGAGGTGTTTGGGCATTTTCCCCTTTGCTATTGAATTCCCTCCCACAAGGTCTCAGACTTGCAGTGTCCTCTTTTAAAACATTACTGAACACCTTTTTTCACAAGGCATTGTCTTGACTGGTTTTATTGTGGTTAATTTAGTTTGTTCTCATGTATTTTACTTCTTTTTTTATATTTTTAGTAAGTTTGTCCATCTGTCTATTTATCTTTTGCATTATGAATATTTTATTTTATTTTTAATTCTTTGTTTGATTGCTTGTATTGTCTGTAATTTAATGTCAGCTTTATGTGGCACCTTGAAACATTGTTTTAGAAAGGTGTCATACAAATACAGTAATTATTAGTTCTAGGCCTCAAGCCCTTTAATTAATCAAAACATAAAAATAATTATTGCTCTTGCAGCTCTAGCTCCAAAATCATTCTGTTTGTCATTTCACAAACAGTTTAAAGTAACCAAGTACACTGAATAAAGTATTTCAGTACAATCCTGAGGCACTTCAGTCTTTCATTTTCATCCTACTTGACACTTTAACTCCATTTATTGGATTATTTCAGCATATAATTATGTTTCAGATTCAGATTCATAACACTAAATGGAATCAACAAATAAATAATGCTGCATGCTTGTGGGTAAAGATAAGACTTTACTGACTCCTGAGGGGGTGAAGGCAGAGCGGTGGAATGTACAAGCTCAGGATACTAGGTAATTTAAATTTACCTCATTATTGCCAACAGCGGCATTTAAGTGGCACAGCAGAGATGTTTAGTAATTAATAGGCCTAATTATAATCCAGTACATTATTCTGAAGTGGGCCATTCTGCTTGATGTGTAATTTTGTTAGTCAAGTGTTTTCATAAAGGCTATTTCAAACAACAGGAGTTGAACCAAAGAGCTGGATGATTATAAATCCCAACACAAAGGACATAAACACAATAAAACAGGAGATACAACCCTATGCAAGATGAAGTCAGGCTGTCAAACTCCTGAGAATAATTTGTAGTCTCAAGCCTCAATACTTTACCTGTAATTCCTTCCTTTGCCATTTTTTTTGGTGCGTAAAATGTGTGCGTAATTCCTCTGTCACTGCTTTGCACTCTGTTTTCCTTCAACAAACCAAGAGGAACCTCTTGCTGTGTGCACTACTTACTCAGTCTTGCTGCGGGTTTTGTCCTCGCTGAGCTGCAGCAGGTTGATGACAGCTTGTCCCAGGAGTTTGTCTGGGCCCACCAAGGCCCGGTGCAGGACGTGGACGTGCAGCGTGCTGCGCTCCGAGCCGTGCGCGCCGTGATGCAGCGGCGGCAGGTCGAAAGCGGCCTCCTCCTTCCACATCGGAGCCACGCTCTTCTCCGCCACCGAGGTCTGAAACTTCTCTTTGCCCACTTGCATGACCGCGTACGCATCGTTGGTGCCGCTTTTCCCCTTTATCCTGAGGCCTCTGGCTTGGAGCACCGTTACCTGGACGCTCGTGGGACACCACTGCTGATCCGCCAAGGACATGCTGACGACACTTGTTGCTGGATCAGCGCCGCTAAAGAATTAACTCCCCCGAACAAAACGCGGCACCGTCTACCATCGGTTCACCGTGAGAGTGTGTGGAAGTGAAGAAAAGTTTGTTCATGAGCTCCGCTGAGCTTCAGGAACCAGCTGATGGGGCGTGGTTTCCCCGGGAGGGGGCCTCGGTCCAGACAAGACACTCCCTCCAGATTAACAGGTTGACATGGCTTCGGAGACGAACTTGATACGTTTTGGTTCGTTCATTCACACCACAGTAAGCAGTCAGTGGAGCCAACAGACCACACCTGATCCTTGTTGATACCTGCCAGAGCGCATCAGCATCATCACGCAGCAGCTGAGCTTCAACAAAGCAGGACTGAGTGACTGATTGGTTTGGGTTCCTCCTTGACTGATTCTTGTTCTCTCGTTAAATTTAGCGTCTTCAGGTTGAACAAACAAGTCACACAAATTGTAGTCAAGGTCTCTGCTGTGTCATAATTAACAGTCACAATGCCATCTAGTCCTCCCTCAGAAACTCAGGACTCATCTAGGTCTAAAACATGACACCTGTGTTCCAGTAATTCTCACTCATTCAGTCACTTAGAGAGAACAGGTTACCGGACAAAGACACACCTGATAAGGTTCATGTGGCCGGCTTCAGTTTCACATGCAGCTCCAGTCTGAATTGTAATCAGGTTGCAGTGCTGGCATGTGCAGGGATTTTATCGCCCCTGCAGATCAGATAAACCAAAAGGCTCTCAAACACACTGAATGTCTGTTTCCCCCACATTTTAATAAACAAACAAACTTTCCATCCCTGCTTTCTCCTCCACATGTGCTGGAAGTGCAAACAGTCATGATGCTGGATAAGGCTGTGTACATTTAATAAGTGGGTTTATAGTAGACGGATGCTCCTGTCTGAATCAGTTTGTAGAGTGATGTATCTGTGTTGTCATGCCACAGCTGCACATTGGTTCATGTTTGAACAGTGACTCCTGCTGTTTGAGGATGGAAACAAAAGTCACCTCATACAAATCTAGAAATCCTTAAAAGAAAGAGTGTCCTCAGACAAACTGAGAACCGTCATTAGCTTAACTTGTGCACCAGTCGTGTGAATGTTTACTTTCCCTGTTTTACAAAGATTAAAGCTCCAGACACATATAGAACCTTGAGCCAATTAGTAAAGTGACGCACAAGTGTTGGCGCTGCCAAAGTGTCTGGCTGTGATGTAACTAAGCTCGTAGTAGCTTTCTACATCACCGTATTCTTGGTAAAAAATGCTGAGAAATAATTTCGTTTTAAAATGTTTATAAACAGTCTATATTTTAGGAGGAGAAGAATTCAATTAGACACACAACAAGCTCACATGGCAGTAAAAATGAAGCAGAAGAACTCAGATTTTCACATAAAAACACATTACCCCTCACTGTTTAAACTTTTCTCCTAATTTTACAACAGAAAACCAAATTACAGAGCATTTAAAACAGATTAAAAACTCAGATATCAAAACATAAACTACATTTCTTTGGTCCTCAGCTTGATAAAAATGACAGCAACGAATATACAAACTCCTGTTCGAGGTAATTCACATTCACTGTTCAGTATAAAAGTCTGCAATAATAACAGACGTACATTCACTGTGTCCTCATTGTCCTTCTGGTGAATCTTTGCTGCTCTTATCCCCGTCTGGATTTCCATCCTCTAAACGTTTGTCCTCCACTCGGTCCTCAGAGTCGTGGTCGCCCACGAGAACTTTGCTGTAAAGTTTCTGCTGCTCCTCTTTGAACACGTCTTTCACCTTTGCTCGTTTCAGTCCTCCGTCCCTGAGAGAAAACAGGTAGATAAGGAAAAGGGTATCGCACACTGAATCTGCAGTGACACCAGCGACTTCTTCTGCTGTCCTTGAAGGGGAAAAAAACACCATTTCAGCTGAACAGTTTCTGTCAGAGCTGAAATCTAATAATGTGTTTTCTGAATCAGCGTCTGGGCTTTACACCGTTGTTGATCCATCTTTTAAACAACCATTACAGCCAGTATATATTTTTTTTGCTTGTGAAAAATTCCAATCTTTCAGCATATTGTAATTCAAGAGGTTGTGTGGTGGCGGAGTGAGTTAAACAAAGGGACTCTCACTTAGGAGGTGGCGGTTAGAGTCCAGAGGGAAGCTGGGAAATGAAAGCCGACTTTTTGCTGTGTGTGCACCGTGTCCGTGCAATCACAGTTGGATTGTTCAGCAAGATAACTCACCCTGTCACGGTGCACGGCCTGTGAAACAATAGCTAATAAATCAGAAAGTTTTGGACCGGTGTGCTCAATCCCCTGGACTTAACATCCATAGAAAACCTGTAGAATACCAATACAAACCATCCAATAAAAACACAGCTTGTGGAGTTTGTGACTGAGAAACGGGCCACTATTACAGTTCAAGAGTGTTTAAGTTTGATTAACAGTGTGCAACAACATCTGGAGGCAGTTATGAAGAACAAGAGGCAAGTCCTGATGGAGATTAATGACCTTCTGATATACAGCAGTGAACAAAAGTTTACATCAACTTGTTAAGACCACATATGTCATGACAGGCTTTTTTTTTTTTAAGTTTTTTTTTGGCCTTTATTAGATAGGACAGTTGAAAGAGAGACAGGAAAGTGGGGGAGGAGAATGGGGAAAGGGGTTGCAGGAAAGGGTCAAGAGTGGGATTCAAACCCATTGGAGACTACAACCCGTGTACATGGGTCGCCAACTCAACCAGGTGAGCTAAAGTGGCGGCTCATGTCATGACAGTGTTGAGTTTCCAATAATTTTGTGTCTTTGTCACAAAAAAAACAATCTTGTATTTTGGTTCTTTCAGAAATATGTTACAGGTCTTTTGTGCTTTTGTTCACAACTGTGCTGTTGGTATTAAATGTATTGTTTCTGAACATCAGATGTTCTAATTTATCTGCTGTATTACTGAGAAAACTTGTTCTTTGCTATTAATTTAAGTGTAGGTTGTTGCTTGATTACATTTATTCAGCAAATGTTCAATGTGTTTTTTTTTTTTTGCCAGATTTTGCCTCATACTTGCACACACTAAAACCTTGGTGACTGGATTTTTCATTCCTATGTCAAGAGATAATTTCAATAATTGTTAACAGTGGTCTAATAGTGCTTGTCTGGTGGGAAAAGCTTTAGATGGAGAGCACAGACTGAAGAAAGAGGGCTGTATTTTGGGACTTTTCTCATCTTTTCCAAATTTCTATCAACTGCAGTTTTAACACACTATTTTACTGATTTATATCAAGACATTTAGGTAAAGCAGGTACTCACCAAATGAGGTCCACTAACCCTCCTTGAGCAGCTATGGCTGCTTTTACTCTGTTGGCAAACTGTACTGCATCCTCCCCTTCCTACACAAGGACAATAAGAAAACAACAGGCTAAAAGAAATTAGACAATTTCAGGAGATGAAATTTTTAAAAAAAAAATCAGCGATCACAAACTTTGTAAATGTCTTTGTGAGGTTGTAAAGCAGGGTTTCACCTCTCTGTTCATAGGTGGCAGATACCAGACGCTGCAGACGATGGCCCAGCTGCTCATCATCCTCAGAAGGTAACTCACCATGCCAAACTTACTGCTGTTCCAGAAAGCATCTCCAAAACGAGGATCATACTGCGAGATAAAAATAGGGTCCTATCAGCTGTACATCAGAGCAGGATGAGCAGGAATGAGGAAACGGACAGAGGGTCCTACCTTAATGGCAACAGGATAGACGGTGCAGTCGATTTCAAAGCTGCCTTTCTTAAACATCATCACTGACGTGTTGTTAATGCAGGTACCTGCACATGACACAGTGACAAGTGAATATAGAGACTGCTTTAAAGTACTATATCATCTGTTATTTAAACTGCACAGTGCTGTGATACAAACCCTCGGGGAAGATGAGGATGGGCTGTTTGGTTTTATCAGCAACATGATCTCCAAGCCTGAAATGAAAACCAGACAAGCATTAAGAATATTTAGACATTTAATCTGATTCACTCACTTTGAACCACGTAAACCACATTTAGTGAAACTCAAACCACAGCAATGGATGGCAGGACCACCTTATTTTAGTGTAAGACATGACGCACTAAAAAACAATGTTTACTGCATGTACCCAGCCAGCTATTGTGTGCCAGCACATTGATCATGATGGATGTCTCTGTTCCTAAAATGCATCTCAAGGAGAGAGAAGGTTTGCTGGAGGAGCTTTGAGGGAGGATGCACTCATGTATCCTCACTGCAGCTTTTGTGGAAGCCTTATTTCCATCCATAACATATAAAAAGAGCATTACATTTAGCTGGAATACACAACTATGACAGGAGCAGGATGACACAAGTGTAAGTGTTCCTGTTGTGAGCTATTTAGAAGTTGTATTAGCTATTTAAGATGATCAAATGCAAACTTAAAGCCCCACAATGTTTGTAACAGTATCTGTGTGGCACTATTCATTCAAATGCTTGTAGAGATTCACACAATAAAATATGCAACACATGTACAATTGACAGGTTTAAAGCAATCATGTCTCATTTCGTTGCATGTCTGTCGCCTCAACTGCTCTCTCCTCATGTTTCTTTCTTGTATTTCAGGCAGGAGGGACGAAATTGAAAAAAAAATTGAGGACGCACGCAATAAGAAATAAGAGTGTCTATGCAATGTCTCCCGCCCCACAGTTGGAGAGTCACTGAACTATACCAACACTAAGAAGATGCAATGTTACCTTTTGGCCACTAGATGTCGGTCTTTCACTTCTGATCTTTCGAACCAGATGTGCGAGGATGACTTGACCATGGCTCTTTGCACCATTCCCATCAACCCTCCGTGCACCTGGCCAACCTGAGAAATGAGTTCAGCTCAACAACAGCAGCACACTCTGCTCGTCTTTAATAGTCTAAAAGTTGAGTTCAGACGCTTATGCTTGTGAAAACTAAACACACTCATACAACACAAACAGAGACACAAGATTTTGTACCAGAGCGTAGCAGCCGTCATTGGCCAAGATTATGACATCAATGGGTGTCGTGTGATTCGCCACACAGATACCGCCGTTCTTCGGTTTGTTCTCGCTGCAATTAAACAAGACACAGACACATGATATGCTGAAAATCAGACATTATTTACCGCAAAACTCCACTGATAGTTTTTTTTCTATTGTTTGAAATAGAGACATTTACAGAAAGTTGCCATCCTGCCAAACAACGTCATGCCACCGTGCTTAATTAGTAAACTAAAAGCCTTTCTAACGTCTCTCGGGGCACTGACGCTGTCGTTAATTACGGAATATCATGTACCTGTTATGATAGGTGATGATTGCAGTGAGAGCTCTCACGCAGATGCGGTAACACATCAGATGAACCTTCTCACTCAGGTAAGATCTTAACCTGAAGACAAACAGCACACCAGTCACTCCAGCTCTGTCTGGATTGATGCATTGACGTGGCTACACCTGGTCAGTGTTGTTTCAATCGTCCTAACTGATATAAAAATTGGAGGAAACTCACTCTGCATTTGGTAAAAACGCCACCAAGGTGGTCAGGACAAGCAGCAGACAAATGCCGGTGACTGCGAGAGTAACCCTGCAGAACAAAAGAGCATAAAGTTGATTTATGAGTGAACCTATGCACAGCTCTTATGAGATCAATCTTACTGCCTCCACCGCTGAACCTGCCTGCGTGCTGCTCTGACCTGAGGGGCAGCAGGACGCCGTAGCGGATGAGGATCCCCAGCCCCCACAGGACGGTAAGTCTCAGACTAATGTGACGGAAGTTGTAGTTGCTCCGAGTCAGCAAGTTCCAGCTCTCCAGTTCCTGGGCTGAAAAGCGCTTGGTCACCTCATCGTCCACAATGCTCTCGACCCCCCTCCGGCAGAAGTAGAAGATGTCAGCCATCTCAAACTCTGGCTCCGAGGGCAGACTGCTGGCAGAACCCCGGAGCTCCTGGATCTCCTGCTGCAAAGAAGATGGAGGCTCCTTGGCTATGATACCTTCAGCAAGGAGAAGAAGGAGATTTAAAGGTGAATATCATACAGGCACAATGCACATTTATGACTGACAAATATTAAACTATAACTTGTTTACCGTGGGTATATGGTTTATAAAGTTGCTGATTCTTTTCTTTTGCTCCCAACTCCATTCGTAAGGTTGCCCACTAATGTCAAAGAGGAAAAAGACAAACAGATTAGAATTACATTTACTCAGTTTCCTGTGATGTCTGACCAGCAGCAAAGATGAGAGCAAGAAGTAAAAACTGCAGATTAGCCGCTGTGGAGTTGGATGTGCTCCGTTAACCACTACAGGTCTCCAACGTGCATTAAAGATTTAAAGAGAAAAAGGGAAGCATACACAGTGATATAATCAAAGTGAGGAAATTAGGCAACATGTTCCCTGGAGACTGCAGCTCTGCACAACAGAAGATTGGGGGAGGAAGTGTGTGTTTTCCTGACAAGTTTGCAGCTCAGACAACAATGCCTAGAAATAACAAAGACACTCGACACTATTGTGGTCCAATTTCAGCTTCAAACGCTCAACCGTGACTCCATCAATATAAATAGGGCACAGTTTTGATGGATCAGGCCTTTGTGCCAAACCTAGAGAGAGGGCAGTTAAAGAAGCATCGCCTGGTGTGTCCTCCAAATAAAACAACACACACCAGCAGAAACTTCTGCTCAGAGTGAAGATGAGTGATAAGAGTCTACCAGCCTTACAAAGTACTGAAGGTGGTTTGGAGGTGTGCAGAGGCCACTAAAAGCCAGACACAAACTTTTCTGTTGACCACCTAGGAAGACCACACATAACCCCCAAAAGAGGTACCCAGAGCTGTAGAAGCACACGGCAGAGTGTCAGCAGGGTGGGCCACAGGGCACCAGAATATTTGCTCGCTCCACCCTATGTTGGTGTGAGATGCATGTGGCTGGTCATGAGATTCTACATCTTTAGAGAAGACGACTTTACTCTGACCTACATACATAAAGGGTGGGGAAAAGGAAGCATGTCTGAAGTGTGCAATACTTGTCTTCAGGTATTCTTGCACTCGAATTTTTGGACAATGGTAACTACTGCAATTAAATGTAGATTTAAGGGGCTGCAAGGTGAAGCGGTGGTTAGCACTGTTGCCTCGCAGCAAGAAGGTCGCCGGTTCACGTCCCAATGAGGACACCCGGAATCCTTCTGCGTGGAGTCTCCATGTTCTCCCTGTGCAGCGTGGGTTCTCTCTGGGTTCTCCAGCTTCCTCCCACACAGTCCAAAAACATGTTGGTGATTCTAAATTGTCCGTAGGTGTGAATGTGAGTGTGCTTGGTTGTCTGTCTCTAAGTGCAGCCCTGTGATAGACTGGTGACCTGTCCAGGTGAACCTGCCTTCACCCTAAGTCAGCTGGAATAGACTCCAGCCCCCCATGACCCTAGTTAGGATTAAACGGTGTATAGATAATGGATGGATTTTTTTTTTTATTTGCTTTTTCCCCAAACAGTAGCAGATCTCATGTGCCACATAATCTACTAAAGAATACATATCTGAACAAAGTTGCAGCAGTGCTTGGGCCATGGACTGTATATTAAAAAAAATGGACGTAGCCACCATGACATTACCCACTTTTTTGTGGACGACCGCTTTGAAATGTTGACATTTTGGTCCATCATCATTTCGGTTGTTTGAAACCAGACTCATCATCTNTTGGTCCATCATCATTTCGGTTGTTTGAAACCAGACTCATCATCTATTTTACTCTAAATCAGACCATAATAGATGTACAGAAGACTTGAAACTGGCGATTGAGACCGTAAGCGCATTAGGAAAATGTTTACTGTGAGTGAGACATACGCTCATTTTCATACAGACTTCTAGATAATTGGACTACTTATTGCAAACAGAGGCACTATTAGAGAGAATGCAGATTTACTTTTAAGACCTACGACTATGTCCAGTGTTTATTTACTATCTATGGCTTGGACACTGCAGTGCACTACAAATGGAATAGAGATAGAATCTGACCACACATGACAGCAACCTGCTTCCTGGCCTGTGGTAAAACAGTCCAGTAAGGAAACCTGGTCTTTCATGTTCTCTGTGTTGAAACAGAATAACAGTTAGTCTGCTTTCTGCTGAGCTCATGTTCAATCCTATGTCAGGACTCTTGAACGAATAAAAGAAAATCCAAAAACGATCTGTGGGAGAAATGTCAGATTTGGCTGCAGGAATTCTCCTTTACCTTCACACAACCACCTGCACAATGCAGCCACTTCAGAGAACTGTCAGTCCCAGCTGCTCAAATTGACACTCTTCTGAAAGTCTGAGAGCCAGACAAATTCCAGCGCGTGAGAAATTGGGAGAGCAGTTTGCAGCTCCCCCTAAAATAACGTACATTTCACTACGTATTTGTTCAGCTTCAAGTGTGACTACATCATGCTGACTTTAAAGAGAAGGTTTGAATTTAAAAACTCCTGCAGAAGGCCACAGGGGCTGAGCCTGTGTCATGCCTGTGGATGAACTTCAACCCAGGAGTCTAAGCTTGTTCCAGTATCTACACCACCTCAGATGGTGGTCCTGTGATTAAAAGCTTGTTGTTCCCCGGAGGGTGTCCCAAAGCCTTACTCCCCCAGGAAAGGGCTGGCAAAACATGGCTTGTGCTTCAAACAATCTCTCTGAGCTGGGAGAACCAAGGATCCAGCAAGGAATGTTTGATAAGAAGAAAAGTGCAATAAACTATTTTCCAGCATCTAAAAAGGGTAAGAGCAAAGTGCCATAGTAGTTTAGAAGTAAGATATATGTGCCAAAATCTTGTATAATCATTAAATAATCCAACCCTAACAGTTCAACAAACAAAACAAAACTCAAAACATGTTGATTTTGTACCCCTGTGGTAAAATCCTGCAGTACAAGGACACCAAGCTCACCTCAAATATCTTGAGAAGTGTCCTCATGTAGAAGCTGCGGATACCAAAAGACACTCCAAGTACAGCTGGCACGATTATGAAGACAAACAGAAGAGTCAGCCACACGGTGATGGAGATGCCGAGACACCTGCACAGCAGGTTGTCAGCAGGAAACGTAAACCGAGCCATGTTGTCAACAGCAGAGAAGACTCAGGAGTTAACGAGGCACAGAGGAACCCCTCAGCTGTAGGGGAAGTCTTCTGCTCCGTTTAAATCCACGCCGTCTGAAGTCGATGCTGAATTATAGATCAGGAGTAACTCACAGTCTGCATCTGGCAAACACAGCACAAAATATCAAGATCACACACAGTTATTCATCCCAGGTGCTGCCTTTAAACATCACACTTGATGATTAAAGGCAACACCTGGGATGACTAACTGTGTCCCAGGTGTCCCCTTTAAACATCACACTTGATGACGGCTTTTACTGAAAGCTCGTATCGGGCTTATTCTGGCTTTGAAACAATGAGGTCGTGGCTGCTGCTCACAGTTGCAAATTGACAGCCATTGTCTTGATTCAGTGAATAACTGATATGCACGCTGTCAGAATCAATGAGCGAATGCACAAGGGAATTTATAACGAGGAATTTATTTGTGAGTTGCTCACCCACAGCGCAGCATACATTTATCATGCTAGTTAGCTGGCTGCCTCATCTTCCGCTAGTTACGCCTTGGCACCCAAAGCTACAGCCCTGAATGTTTCATGAATCACCTCTGATATATTTATTTATATACGGATCTATTCACCTCCTTCTGATCATATGTTAAAGCCCTCAAACAATAATATCAATGAAAAATGTTGGGATAATATTTTTACTTTTTGTACAATCTGATCTGTTTACTGAAGTCATAACTGTGAGTCAAGTGTTTTTTTTTTAAGAGTTTTTTTTTTTTACTTTCACAGTCTCACTGCAGGATATTTGCAGCACTGACTTTTTGTTTGTGTGGATTTTTCCCTCTCATATAGCACATGGCCCCTCCAATCATAAAGTAAATATACATCAGGTCGAGCAACAACACAAAAACGTGATTATTTCATTGTAAGTTCTTGTAAGGTGTGATAAGGTATCATTATATGATATAAACAGAACTAATCAGCAGCACAGATAGCATGTTTGGTTGAACTTTTTCCCCTCATCAGCACCTACATCTCTCTTCTGCCGGATTATTTAAAGGATCAGTCAAGCCCATGGGGGGTTTCTTACTCCATATCCGGGGGCGTCTTCCTTTAAAAGTCTTACTCATACATTTTCATATTACAGAGAAGGGTTTTGTTGGGGTTTTTTTGTACATTTTGATAACGGACAACCCTCCACACAGGCCTCATGTTAACAGTAACGGAAAGGTAGTTGACGTATATATTGATTAAAATAAACAAAGAGGCATATTTTGTCATCATCATCCTAAAGATTATTAAGGTCATGAGAGCAATGAAAGTTGAGGAGAGAGGAAATATGGTGGGGGGCTTCTTAGAATAGAATAGAATAGAATAGAATAGAATAGAATAGAACAAAATAGAATAGAACAGACCAGAACAGAATAGAACAGAATAGAATAGAATAGAATAGAATAGAATAGAACAGAACAGAATAGAATAGAATAGAATAGAATAGAATAGANTAGAATAGAATAGAATAGAACAGAACAGAATAGAATAGAATAGAATAGAATAGAATAGAACAGAACAGAATAGAATACAATAGAATACAATAGAACAGAACAGAATAGAATAGAATAGAATAGAACAAAATAGAATAGAATAGAACAGAACAGAACAGAACAGAATACAATAGAATAGAATCCTAGACCTGGGAAGTTATTGTAAGCAGCAGCATCCAAAAACATGGAAAAAAAAGTACAAGAAAATAACAATAATTAAGTAATATGCATCCCATGATGACAGTTGCATATGAAAACACACATCTAAGTAATTAACAGCTTAGTGATTCTTTTCGTGGTACTTTAAAAGGTCATTATGTGGTCTAACTAATATGTACGTAGGAACAACGCTTTAAAGCCAAAATTAGCTTAATTAGCTTAATTAAAGTTGCCACAATTAACAGACAAATATCAGGCTCAGCTCTTTAGCCTGTTAGCATTCAATTTAGAACACTTGTAACTTTTGACACCTCCACAGAGAACCTCCTACAGGTTTCAGTTACTAATTATTAATTAGTTTTCATAGCGAGTTTGGTTCATAGCATGCTAGCTAATAGCAGCAGCTTTGACCCCCCCAGCTAGCTAGCGGCTAATGGTGAGTAGCTACCAACGGCTCCAGCTCCTACCGTCCTCCGGGTTCACCGCGGAGCCACAGGAGGATTGAGACGACAGACGGGCAGGTGGAGCTCCATCTGGACCGTCCAGTCTAAAGCACCGGGATCTCTGCCTGTGTGCTGCCGGATCTGCGGGCTCTCAGCAACATGCTACAGCTGCTGCTGCACACACAGAGTTGTGTGGAGTTCTCATGGCAACAGGTGGCCAATGAGAGCCGCTGTCACTGCGCTGTGGGCTGGACGGGCACCAAATCTGATTAGTGGACAGGAGGCTCCACAAAGTGCTGGAGAAGACAAAGAGGGTCAGATCTGTGAGGTCACACTGGGAAAAAAAGAGGAAATTATTATAATAGGGGTTTATCAAAGTACAGGCTCTAAAACATGCAGAAAATCCCCCTGAAATAGTTCAACAGAAGTGAGTACACCCCTGTGCAATATGGCTTCACTGTCAGATGATTCAAACTTGCATCACTTCTCAGCAATTGCATGACCTCTAAGTTGGCAAGTCGATCATTTTTCTTATGTGCAATCAAAAAGTTTACAAGGATTGCATTGAAAAGACAGGCCCCAGCATAGAAAGTGAATCTACCTGTGATCACACAGTTTAATAAACCTGTCCAATCATTCCGTGTAGGCGATCATTTCTCTCCATCTAATCTGATCTTTTGCTTTCTGAATTGTGACTGTAGCCTGCTCCATGTGTAGCCATGATGTCTGCCTCGTCCTCTCTTCCCGTTCTTCTATCAGCTCCAGACATCTGATAAAAACAGGTGATTGTACATAAAGACTAATTGTAAATTAAAAAAAAAACCTGTCTTGAAAGGATAATCCAAGTTAGTTTCATGATCATGTAAAATCATATTTCAACTCCTCATTAATCTGGAAAAATCCAGTGAACGTAGGTCTCGCATCAAATAAAAACCAACCTGTCCAGTCAGACTAACTGAATGAGTTAGAAAATGACCACCACAACGCCACAGCTTTCTCTACAAGCTGTGGCCATCTGTATATCTGCATTATGGCTCCACAACCATCTATAAAACACACTTGCAGCAGAAGTCAGCAGGTATCAAACAAGCCATTTACAACTAATTAGAGCCACAGCCACACTGCACTATTTGCACAATCAAGCTCTGAAAAACAAACAGGCAGCTGCTTTAAACTTGGCAAAATGGTTTAAATTGATAATTGGAATTTCTGTCACAGCTCAGACAGTGTGAAGGATACTGTAAAAGGTGAATCTCCATGGATGGCATTCAAGAAAAATACCCTTGTTTGCTGTTTGGAACAAAATGTTGCTAAAATCCAACATAATTTGGTCAGATGATGTGAAATAGTTTTTGCATGAACCTTGCCAGGAGTACCACAGTGAATGCACAGTCCTGACAGTGAAACACAACATTAAGTACCATGACATGGGGCTGTAGATGGACTGTCCAGCTCCCACTGCTAAGTCCTGTTTGAGTTATTTCCTGTTTTATTTTGGCATTTCCTGTCGTGGGATTGTACTCACCTTCTATCTCAGGTGTCTTTACAGTTCCTGTGCCTTTTTGATCACCTGCTCCGCCCTAATGTGCTTCACCTGTGTGTGTGATTGTACTTCCTGTCCCAGAGTGTATAAATACTCACCCATCCTGGTCCTCATGTTCCTTCCCATTTTATATTACGTCCCAGACATTTTCTTCATCTCATCTTCCCTGCATGATGAGTTTGTAAGTCTTTCGTGTTTCTTAATTGTTTGCCTTCATTTACTCCATGCTTTTGCTGTCGTTTGGGTTTTTAGTTGCTTTTGCCTGCTTCCTGTGCTTTTGTTTCGTCTGGATTGTGGTTTGCTTTTATTGGAATCAGCTTAAGTTCGCTCTTTGTTGGTTTTACTCCGATGTCTGCATTTTGGTTCCAACACGCTGTTTTTCTGTATCTTTGTTAATGATGCTTCAGAGGTACTGAGGAGAATTTGAGTGAGATGGCTGATTTGTTTCATGTGTGTTTTTGTGGTAAATGTGGGGCTGGAAAAAGTGAAACATAACGGTCAATTTACTTTGATAAGTATGTAGCATGAAATGATTACAGAAAGCTACGAGGCGTACAGTTTGTGGTGGAGACTTTTTCAAATAAGGATATGAAAATTAAGTTTACGTAAAATCTTTGAGCTTTTATTTTAAATGTTTATTTTCTTATATATCCCAAACCAATCTCACTTACAATAATTAGACCTGGAATTAAATGAAAACATAGTAAAATAAAACCAATCTGAAGAAATAAATGGCACCAAACCACAAATACAAAAAAAAAACATATGGAGGGAGGCTTTGTACAAAGGCAGGACTTCCAGTTGATCATTGCTTATAGTGAGAACACTTTTGAATTCCTGTTTCCAGTTTATTCCAACCTGGATTGCACTGTCTTGCCTGAATATGAATCATTTTAAAAGATCTTCTAAAGTACACTGCCTTCATGACATGAGTTTTATATTCTCTGTGGTTCTGACACTTTATTCACTGAGCTGCTGTTCAGATAAAAGCTAAATTGGCTCTTACTGAGCAGAATTAGTCGGTTTTAAAAGGCCTCTGTGTTTACAAGAAGACTTACCAGAAGAGTTTTGTAAATGTCACAGCTGTGTATTTCAAGACATTTGCTCATTGTTCATTTGGACAAACCCCACTGAAGTGTTTGCTGGTGCTCCGTTTGGAAACGTCTCGGATATGATCGAGTCTTGCTTTTAGTCTTTGCTGCTTTTGAGGTGCTTAATGTTCCCCATCAGTCCAAATATTGTCACAGGACGGTCCATTTTATTGCTGAACTACAGATTGTCTTACTGCCTGCTGTGTGGGAAGAGTTAACCCCATGTGGTCTAAGTGTTTCATGATTGTACTTCCCATCAATTGGCTGCACTACCTTAATTATTAAAGCTATCATCAGAATTTACTTTATTTTAAATGTGCTATTTGCAGCTGTGTTATTTGTCTATTTATTCTCTCTATCTGTCGCTACTACTGCTCATATAGTAGCATGTCAGTCCCATCTCTACCTCAGTGTCTACCAACAGGCTCAGGACCTGGTTTTTCATGTTTGTGAAGTGCAGGGAAGAAGTGAAGTCATTTGGGCTAAACTTGTGAACATCAGCAAGTAACCTGGCTGCTTATGAAACCTTGTTTTACACAAATCAGATTCAGAAGAAGCATCTGTCAAAACTGCACGGTTTGTGAATGCGAGGAGTTGAAGTCTTGTTGGATGTTTTGTGTATTTTTTGTTGTGCAGTTTTGTCTGCTTTGCTTTAACCACTCATGAAATCCTGTCTGGTGTTGTGGAGTTTTCTTTGTAGTCCTGTCTTTAAAAATAAAAATGCAAGGGACCCTTGACAGAACGGATCTGAGTAACGGAAAGCTGAGAGTATTGTACTTATGTTTTATACAGTTGGAAAGGAAAATTAATGATTCTATTGCCATCTGACTGAGAAATTAAATGGCTATTAGTTGCATTTTTAATACCTTAATAAAAGACATCTGCTGTGTAATATTATAGTAAGAATTTTGTGGTGTCATAGAGATCTCTAGGATTTGGTTTATTTTATAAGCTGATGTCTTAAAATGAGCCTGTTGGGACCAAGTTGCAGAAAAATGAAGAGTTACCTGCAGCACCACAAATGCACTAATCCTCATAGACCACCATGGTACTGTTGGACCCACTTCTTTTGTTGAAACAGCACCAAGAAATGGTCGGAGAAAAGTTCAGGTCTCAGATGAAACAGTTTATTCAGGTCACATGGAAAGTTTTGCAGCACTGGATTCAGACAGACGGAGCGTAATCTCATGTCCAGCTGAACTTAGTTTTTCCGGTTTCAGGTTACAGATATCATCTTGGGCTGGGACTGCCCTGAACATAGATAAGACTACCGAGTTTAATTAGCCAGCTACCGATGACGTGGACCGGCGCTCTGTCCACGTCCTTGAAATTTGGTAAGCAACATGTGTGGGTGTTGTCGGTACGGCGTGTGGCTAAAGTAACAATCGTATCTGATAGAAAAGAGGCGTCTCCGCTGTCTCCAGGTGTGTGAACCAGTTCTCACCGACCACATTATCGTCAAGAACGTACACTGTGCTCAGTAGAAAACAGAATCATAGGCTCAGTGCAAAATACAGATTCAGAATACATAATTATAACAGTACCATGTGACACTTAACATGAACCTGTTTACAGCCAGATATAAGAACTGATTTATTCTCTGTGGTTAATTTCTCTCTTTGTGAAAATTTATGGGGAGTGATTTTTTATGTTTGTTTTAATGACTGACCTGTTTAAACTGTATTTAGACTAAGATTAAGGCCATGACCACTTTGAATGACGTCACAGGGGAGTCCACCATCCAGAGATGTTTGCATGATCCACCTCAGCTCCCATCCTGTTCCACCTCTTTGCTCAGTGTTAGGGAACTATGCAGAGTCGAGCGCTGACGGTCAGAGCCAACCTCAACCCAAGACCTGAGCACTAAACCCTCAGACTTAACTGATGTCGCAGCTCTAGTGCTTGACTGCGTGAAGTCGTAAAGGCTTAAAATAGTATAAAAAGGAAAAAATTGTGACATGCCATGCTGCCTGGAAACAACATGTAACCATTAAAAAAAAAACACAAAGGTGATTCATTCGCAGTTTAAATAGCTGCTGAGCTGATTGCTCCGTGTTCGTTAGTGTTTATACATTTTAGCAAACTACCAATAATCAAGAAAGCTACAAACAGCATAAATCCTGTTTGACAGTAAATGCAGCTCCACAAACACACCAATCAATAACCAGCAGCGAATTCTGACAGCTTCCTAGTGGATTTTTTTTTTCCAGCTTCTTGGAGGACAGCCACCTTTATAAATCTATTTTTCCATGAACTACAGGCTCATGAAAGTCTGATAGTGGGTTCACAGAAAGGGTGCATAATGGTCCACATCAGCGTTCTTGTCCACTTGATTTGACGGAAGGGCAGCCCTGAGCACTCGCATACTTGGTGGAGCGAGTGAGTCTTGAAATCACTGTCGGGGGGGAAAAATCAGGAGAAAGTTGAATAACTTAACTCAGAGATATAGCACAGGCTGGCAGAGGAACAATAAGAGGTGGTTGGAAAACACAAATTAAAAGTCCAAGTGATGCCAAAAGAAAGTAGTCGGAACAAAAATCCAAAAAGGTAACAAGTGGGTGAACATTAGGGGAGCAAACGAGGCTAATGAGCTGCAGACAGGAGACTTACAGGAGACAAAAAAAGGAGGGAAACTGACACAAAAGGAGGAAGTAAAAACACAAGACACGCTCTGAATCGTGACAAAATAAAACAGGAAATAAACTGAGCAAGACTGTGACACTGAGTCCATGAGTTTAAAGACTGTACCTGAGCGTCATGTTGGTTTATCCATATCAACATACTGGACAATCATCGATCTGATTCATGTCCCTGAAGCATTAACACAAGCAGACACACACACACTATTTCCAAGTTGGAATAAAAACCTTTATTTTCATATGTTCTGCTACAAATTGCAGTTGTTTTCTGGCATGCATAGTTTCACACAGTTAAGACAAGAAAAATCACAAAGTAAGATTTCCCTTTTGAAGAACATCTTAACGTTACAGCATGCATGTACCCTCGTTGTCCGTTAATCCAGACGTCCCAACAACCGTTTCAAGTGTTGGAAATGTAACCCGATGCATCAAATCTCTGAAAAATACAGCATACATTTACTACACTGAATTAGACTGACGTGATATTTTTGTAAACTTTCTTTGGCTTTTTTTTTTTGTTCGTTTTTTTTCTTAATCAGAAAGAAGCTCGTACTGCTTCCTTACAGATATCGACAATGAAGGGAATGAAATCAGACTGACTAAAGGGATGTTTATGTATGAGGTTGATTGTTCGAATCGTTTTGAGGTATCAAAGTTAAGAAGTGTAAATGTTTGCACCAAAAAGTCAGACTTGTAGGCTCAGTAGACTCACAGTAACCCAACAAACAAAGACATTTATCAAAGCGCTCCGATTTTTTAAAAATTAAAGCATTAACTGAATCCGTCTTTCGATTTAACGCTCTGTTGATCGCCCACCACAGCGAGATGGAGATGATTTCTCACAACGTAATCGTGTATTCTGAGTATTCATGCAGAGTAATATTCAGAATAAGTAAAAACAATACATGTAAGAAAAGGCCTATCACAGTAGTCGAGAGTAGCAAGAATGTTCTTCTAGAAGTTTTGCAGTTGGAGGAGTCTGGTAGTCTAATGCACACTGGAAATGACACAGTAAAAAACAGGCATTATGTTATTAACTGTATCAATGCTACATTACATATAAATGACCAAAACAAACACTAGCTTGCCTTAACCAAAGTTTGACAATAGTCTCCAGTGACATAACACGTCTACGGCATAGAGGGGAGGAGAGAAACGACAAAAAAACACAAACACTTCGACGGGATCACATGAAAGATTTCCATATTGCCATTTGTATTTGTGCTTATTATGTCCCCAGCATTCAAAAGGAATGTGCTGTACTGGTTTTGGATGTTTGCTGGCGTACTGCTGTCTTAAAAATACAACGTCTTAATTGCTACGATAGCATAGTGTTGGTTGGCGTCTGAGGAAAATGGCTCACATTTTACCCACTGGGTCGATGTTAGAAATGTCGTCAAAGAAAAAATATGGTTTTCAAAATATACTTTGCAAAAGTCAGAAGTGCAACCGTCGGTTTTTGTTTATGCGCTAAGAAACAGCAGCAGCATCATTTATTAACAGTGTTGCTCCTGGCTGCAGTCGTCAGCCGTTGTGCTTCAGCGTGGCAGTTTCAGGGCAGGGTTGATATGTTGATTTTTTTTTGCTGTCTTGTTCATCGACAGTTCAGGAAGTTCGAGATCTATCAGTATTCTGCGCCGGACTCTTCGTTCCTTTTCCTCCCGTTCCAGCAAAGAATCCAGGTTTTAGCATCTTGGCGCTTGGCCAGCGACTCATCGAGACATCATCCGCACGAATTCTGTGAAGTGAAGAAAAGGAGGAGGTGTTTACATAACTGGGTGGCCTGCTTTTAACGTTGTGCCTGGGTGTGTGGAGCACCTGCTAACCTTGCAGCAGCAGCGGTATCTCAGAAATGCATTGCTAGGCTGCCAAGTGCTGAACACGAATTGTTTCCATGAGAGGTTTTGTGGCACTCGGTGAGCACAGCGTCAGTTTCAAGTATATTTGTTTATTTTGTTAAAGATTCCACAGGAGTGCCTTTTTCAGCAAATCAATCAAATTCCAACATTTCCCGATAGTCTCTCCTTTTAGTTTTTCAGCTCAAAATACTACAAAGATGCTTCATTTTACCGTCTCTCTATCACTGCTGGTTTTAGGGATGTTCTAAACCGGCTGTTTTATTCTAAAAATCAACGCACTGTTTGAGTTGGATGATTATTGTTAGGTAGGTGTTGCATGGCTTGAAGCATCTACGTACTTAACAGCCGTTACTTTACACCTTCAACTTTATAATAACCACAGAACACAGTAAAAAAAATAGATTCTCATTATGTTGTTCAGCCAAATATTCTCTGTCAACAAAGAAAAGGTTTTTTACTTCAAAATCTGCTCAATAGTTAGTGTGACAAATTAGATTTTCACACCTTGTTTTGTACAGAAGTCTAAAAAAATATTCCTGATTACAGTCAAAGCTGCACCTTGAATGTTTTTTATATTCACGATGGAAGAAACTGATGCTCACTGTGACAACCAAACACATTTATCTCTGGTCTCAGCAGTTCCCTTCAACTCCACTGAGCATCTTTAAGCTCATTGTTTTGGCTTTACAGCTTTAAACTGCTTAGGCTCACTCTAAAAGTGAAAACACCCTGGCACCTCTGCATGACCCTTACAGTAAAATGATCCAACAGTTTTAATCAACATGCATAAAGTCATATGTGGACACCTGCAACTTTAATGTGGTGTCTCAATCCCCAGAGCTACGCCTCCCCAGGCGATATCTTCTTTACTTTGAAATGATTGGCGAGTGACTCGTGTAGCTGCTGATATTTCTCAGCCTCAAAAACTCGTCTCTCCTGATGCATTGTTGTAAAGATGAGAGACAACAGCAGAGAGAGGGGAGGTGGGGCAAGAGCAGAGAAGAAGCTGCTACAGGAGACTAACAAGAAGGGAGCGAGTCCAATAAAGTGTCTTTTCAGGGGAGGCGAGGCTGGAAATAAAACAGAAGTGAGAAGCGTCATGGGGCGGCGTGCTGACGCAGCAGTGTGTCTTGGCTGTCGCTATTCTCGTTACTAACAATGACTAGCTGTTGAAAATGGCG